TATATATATATATATATATATATATATATATATATGATGGTTGAGTGCTAACCATAAAGGGGAAAAGCCATCTAACCCATACACTTGTCTTATGGTGAAAAAATAAATAATCATGCCTTATAAGTGTGTGGGACTTAGCTTCTAGTATTCTAATTCTAATTTCTAGTTCTAATTAATTCTTCCCCTTTGCTCCTTAGCTTTTCATAATACAAGGTATAAATGATTACGACAATAATAATATAATCAGTATAATTTTAGAAGTAGTAAAATATGAAATAATGATGTATGTGTAATCCTATTTCTATTTTGTGATTTGTGAAGATAGAGAGATTATTTTTAGATAGACTAGTAAGTAGGTTATTTGGCCATGTGATGTCGTATCACGATATGATATCTTGAGATAGAATCAACGTTTGGACATGTGATTCTACGCTAATTTCATCTCATGATTCCATATCATGAGATGTGATACTATATTCTCCAAAAAACCATAATATGGAATCATATGAGAATACCATATCATAATTTTGAGTTATTTTAATACAAAATTGATTTACGAGTTTATATTTTGTTAAAATAACCCCACATTTATATCTACTTACCATTTATTTCACATGTAAATAAAATTTATAATCAAATCATTACTTTTTTTAATTTATTATTCTCAACGACATAAAATTTATTATTCTCACTAACATATAGTCACTTTACCCCACACTCCACGATTGTTGAGTAATAAAATCTTGAAGAGCCCGTGAAAGATGTTTCATTTTTACTTAAATACATTGATGAAATAATTACTTAAGTGGAGAACAAATAACTTTGTAATAATTTATTATACGATTTTATGATTATTTATTTATTTAATAATATTGAACAAACAATTGGGACTATTTTAATAGTTTTAGAACTTATGGAATTTTTAGGTTTATGAGAAAATAACAAAACACAAGAATTTCATATCGCATGTCCAAACAAAAATTCAATTTCTCTCATGATTCCATATCAAGATACCATATCGCATGACCAAACAGACTCAAGTAAAATATTTCAAAAACCAAGGTATGAAGAAGCATGAATTACAATAATTATCTCTTTCACAAAGCTATTCATTTCACTTTTTTTTTATTTAATATTCGACACTCATATTAAAACTTGATTATATTCAAATTCAATCTTAAATTTCACTCATTTTAAAAGGGAAAGTTGTAAAAGAAACTAGAAATGCAATGATGGTTTTGGAAGCCCAAACCGACCTCGTTTAGAAAATCATGGCCATAAAGACATATTGCTACCCAAAAAAACAAAAAAACAAAAAGAGAAGTCCAAATGAGACCACCACCATAATTTCTTAGTGCATTTTTGTCAAAATCACTTAGTTTTTGCGTTAGTGGTCCTTTTTTTTTAAAAAAAAATGTTATAATCAGTAAATCAAACTTATTTTACGTTTATTTTAATTAATTCTATAAAATATTATCACTTTTTACTAATAATAAACATGACATATCTCTATTCACCACAACAAAACATATAAAAATAATTATTTAAACTTAAAATCTTATAATTTTCGATCTACGTCTTCTTGGATTACCTGTCCTATTTTTTTCATTGTAAAAAAATAGTTTACAATTAGCAGACATTTATCTCAACAGGAAAAACCTATAATTTTTACAACAGAGAAAAAAGTTTTACTACTAATTATGACAAATAAATCACCTGTATTAATGTACTTCAGTTAATTTTCTCATAATCATTTTACCATTAATTACAAGTATTTATATAGTAACACGTTTATGTATTTTTTGGTCAAAGAAAAAAAAACTAAGTAGGCTTGTATCTCTCACTTTTATATAGTGGAGGATTGTAAAATAGAAAAAAGTGTTGAAAAGAAAATCTTAGAGAAATCATGATACAGATCATGACCCCTCAATTGCACAGCAACAAAAATCAACAAGATGGGGTCCAAAGTGCTAGTAAGCTTTCCACTAAAATTTAATTTCAATCTAATTAAAAAAAAATTAACGACAGATAACTACAAATAATCGTTCATAAAAAATAATATTAGTAACGAATAAGAAACAAGATATGTTAACTATTACAACACGTTAACATACATTGATAATAAAATTTTGTATAATGTCATTTTATGCAATACTATTTTTAAAAAAAGAATTGATACATTTACATACTTAGTAACAAAGTTTAACTTTTTCTTATGAGATACTGAATTTATAGTCATACAAATGTTCGTAACTTGTTTTATTCATACAACTTTTTTTAAAAATTTATATTATTTTAAATTCCGTATCCACTCAAATGATATAAAAACAGACTTTCTGACGCTTTTTTTTCCTTATAAAAGGAGCAACTAGTGTGTGCTCTAAACAATCTTACTCAAAAACTCAAACTTGTAAAACCTCAAGTCCCTAGCAACACAAATATAGCAAATACACAACAATGGGAAATTGCATAGTATTTTTGCAAAATGATAAGAAGAAGGTCATTGAATACAAAGCTCCAATGAAGGTTCATGAAGTGTCATCACCTCTTCTACAAGAGCCAAAAACAAAACATGTAAAAAAGAAGGTGAAGTTTGCTGATGAAGTAATGTTTATGGAAAGTAGTAGCAAAAATTGTTCATCATCAGAAGTTGTAAGAATTAAAGTTGTTATTACTAAGCAAGAGTTGCAATCTCTTCTATCAAGTGAAGGAGAATTAAAAGTACTTCAAGATGGTAACATGGTTGTTCAACAAAGCTCTATTAGTGAAATTAATGATTGTTTTATACATGAATTAGATTAGCTTATTAATTAGTCTTCTTTTGGATTAATTTAGTTTCCTATATTGTAAAATAACTATAGTAAGATAAAAGTTTTTGTTTTTCTAACTATAGAGAAGAGGAATTGATATACTTTTTTTAGTTCTAAGCAAATGAAACTTTACAAATTTGGAATGATCAATCTTCTTCATCATATCAACTTTCTTATTCGCAAGTCATTAAAATGTACGTATTATATAGCTATGTTCTCGACAATTTATTTACTTGAATATATATATAAATCGGATCATATTAGAGCTAGTCCCCAAGTATTTTGGTGCTAGAATCATTGGAGGAAACCTAAAAAAGCATGCCTTTGAGCTAAAGAATGGGATGGGAAATATCTCATCTTTTTATGAGTGACAAGGTCAAAATTTTCATTAAGAAAATTTAAGATATATAAAACTCATTTATATATATAATATGAATTAAACCTTAAATATACGGTATAATTTTTTGCCCTAAAGCATTGTTAACACAAAGCAAGTGAGAATGGAATACGTTACTGAGAGAACAAAGGAAAACTCCAATTTTGTTTGCGTGACTAACCTCAGCACTAATAAAGAAACATTTTTGTAAATATTTGCTCATATATTTACTACAGACAAAACATTACAAACTTTTAAATCGTCATCTAATATTTTTACATAAAATTTTCAGTCTATTCAAAAAGAGATCTTCACATCATAATAATTAAAAAAAAGTAAAACTTATGGCATTGGTTGTCTATGTCAAGTCAATATATATATGCTATGTATTTAATTTTATAATTTATTTTACTTTAAAAAATTACGTAATAACTAAAAATTGCATTTACTTGGTGTAAACACCAGATGTGAATAAGTTTTTTTAAAAAAAAATCTATAAAATACGAGAGAATTATTTACTAAATAACTGTCACAAAAAGGGATAGCCTGTGAAAATTCCACACTTATAGTTAGGTAGCTAATTAATACTCCTTATTATGCGTTCTCCTGCTCTTTTTCAGTTAATTAACTAGATCAATTAGCTTATTGTTAGGGTACCTAATATACAAAAATTGATAAATATTGGTATAAAACAAATTAATGGATTAACGGTTACTAGAGCAACTTTTTTACATCATGATGGAGAGCTCACCACATCTAAAGGCCAAATTAATTTTTTATAAATATAACCTTGTATAGTGCATGAAATATTTACGCTTATAACAATTTGAGAAAAGGGTGATCTATAGTGCTTGTTAGTCTCAAACCACGATAACGTGATTTTCAAAAAGTTAACAAGCAATCTAGAAATAGTCGATATATGATAAATCAACCTTCAATATCGAAAATATTAAAAATTATATTGGAATTAATCGGTCTATATAAATGTCAAATGAATATTGAAGATTCATAAGCCAATCATAATTTGATTGTTGGACTTTTGAAATCATAGATCCATTTTGTGATTTACGCAACTCAGATAAGAAACTTTTTATCTTATTTCCCCAAGTTTTTGCACTAATTGACATTCGTGCAACGTAGAAGCTAAAGGAATATGCAAACTTGATAAGAAAAAAGAACTACAAGGGTGCATAAACATTAACATATTTTAGCCTATGTTGCTCGGATACTCCAAAAACATTATCAAGCTCATGTTAGATTCTTTAAAACATCCTAGTTTTTATCTCACACTACACCTGGTAATATTTTTGAAAAGTCCGAGCAACATAGATCTCAACAGTATCCCTGGAAGAGAACATGTCATCTTCTGGAAAATGAATATATTACCCAAGATATGCCTAATGAAGATGATCGCGAATTCGCGAAGAGTACAAAAGACAGTGTCTTGTTATTTTCAGAGTAGGAGCGATTTGGTGCATCTACATAACCTAGTGATTAAAAGGTCAAGCAATCGCCTGAAATGTATATATACGAGGAGTATGAACCAATATTATATACATATACACACTATATACGTCTACAATGAATACGTATTCCTGTTTCTATACATTAGTGAACAGATTTATCTGCAATATGCAGCACACTGACTAGCTATTCCTGTTTCATTTCGACTTCCAGGCTAATCTCATTCCGACGTGTGAAAGGAAGAGTAAATGGTGGATTATACTGCAAGAGAAGTATAACAAATATGCAGCTACTTTAGTTGAACTAGGTCAAAAATATGTTCTCCAGGAGGTATTGTAAGTGTAATTGAAATGATTCTGCAAATATACCTGTGCAACTTCTACCAAGGCACCATCTTTTACCTGAAACTCTGCATCTCCCTTTAGTGCAGTTCGAAGTCTTGATTCTCGAGCTTTAACTTCTTCGTCATTCACAAAACCTTCATTGGAATCAAACGAGAGAGAGGGCTAGCTATGTTAGGATACAGAACTTGAAAAACAGAATTCCTTAATGTTTTCTCTTTGAACTCTGAATTGATCACCGTCATTCGTCACAGCAGGCTTATAGGACATTAAAGAAAGAAAAGAAAACTAAGTATAACTATGTCCAAGTTTCTCTCATATCATAACAAGTCAATCGATCAATAAAGTACTAAGTAACTTTACCAAGATCTACTTCTACAAACCAATGAGACAGATCCCAGCTTTCTGACAACATATGTTGAATTTCAAGAAAACTTAACATTCCATCTTGAACTTTGTATTGACATACTGAATGTGAAGTTACAAACCTGAAAAAGCAACAACTGCAACAGTTTTCCGAGGCACCTCTTTGATAGTAACAGAGGAATCCTTCGGTAGTGGCAAGTCCGAACCATACTTGGAGGGCATGACGAAGGACATCCTCCACTTCTCCTGATCTTCCGCCTAATGAAATTCTTAATGAGATTCCAGTAGGTGTAATTTTTTTGAAAATACGAGAGCAGGAAATAAGTATAACAACTATATACACAATATTTATCTTTTTTTCCTTTTGGGTGGGGATGGGGTGGGGTGTGGGAGTGTTAATCACTAAAACATAGTATCAGACGTAAGTTAAAGTGATTTTTTTCTTTTCTAGAAAGGAAGAATGTTGTTTTTGAAGTTTCTCAGAGCAAGAAATTCTTATAGGATGACTCCACACAGCATAACCAGAGAGACACGCAACCTATCTTCTAAGCGAGTGCCTATTTCCACATAATATTGGTTTTTTATGTTTCAAAATATTGTTATCAGATATCCATTGATGAATGACTAGAAAAATGTGTTATTGTTTGTATAAAGGATTAGATGTGTATATTTATTCAGACATGTATTTTTATAATGTGGAAGATTGTTCTCTGACTGTTATTCCATTCTAAACTTGTTCTAGAACTAAGATTGGACATCTACAATACATGAACTAGCCTATACGCACATACCAGATGCGTGTGTGCAAGTATCTGATAGTGGTTTGTGCAGTTTTTTCTTTAATTATTAGTGTAATTTGAAAAATTGGAAAGAAGTACCAACACTCAAGTCACGCCCTTCAGGAGCAGGTACGGCAAAGCAGTGAAGGATCCATGCAACACTTATGTTGTTGGGACCTTCAAAATTACTGACAGGTGTGTATCGGATACTCCGAAAGCTATGCATTTTACAGGATCCAACAGAGGTGGTGTGGCTGCATTTTTAGAGGGTCCGAGCAACATAATTAAAATGTGGAATCTAATAGTTTCCCGTTCCCCTAGATATGGATTTGCAATAGTGCCATCCAAGAATACTACAGGTTCAAACAATAAGAAGCAACTATGTTTATATTTCTTATGTACCTGATCTGGCATATAGGCCTAGCACACAATTGAAAGATCCTCAAATCCCATCTAAAATACATTTCGGCTTTTATCAAATCAACATCAAGAACGTAAATGTGTTTTCCTTGTGAATTAGGTAACTAGATGATGTTCTTTTTGCCAATAGAATCAGTAAAAGTCAGCATTTCAATTTGGCAACATGAGGTCATTATTAGAGTAGTTCTTCATTTATCATTTCTCAAGTTATGTAGTGACTCAACTACATTATTTTATCACTTCATTCCTTTTATTAACACCGTGCATCAATATCCATGTTACCCGTCCCTCTTACAGGGTGTCTCCAATGTCCAGAGAAAAACATTTATGTCTACAAAGGTACTGCACAGAAAATAGTCGAGCAAAAACATGTGTAATAGAGTAAACAAACCATCTGTCTTGAGTGAAGCAGTAAATAATATGCTGTGAAAGAGCTAAAACAGAAAAACAATGATTAGTTTAAGAGTTGTACCCTTTTAGTTATCACTGGAGTAGTCATTTCCATTTTCTCCCCATCAGATTGAGTTCTACGAGTGATTACGGGTGTCGTCATTGCCATACTCTCCTTCTTCGTGTTCTAGAAGTCATCAAGAAACAGAACAAAGCCAAAGAAGGCCACCATTACAATGTGGTTCGAGGCGATCTAAGGTTGACTCTACAAGTACCTTGAACTACCTTACCAAACAAGTACTCAGCCAATGTGTTGAAGGATTGAGATGCACCATTAAAGTCAAACCCAGACTTCCCAGGCATTGTAGCCTCGGCAACGAAGTAAGGCTGTTTAAAGTCACTTTACTACTTTAGATAAATGAACAAAACTATAATAAAAAAAATATGGTTAAAAGGATAATCAGGAATTGGTTGGTGATTTTACTAGGTCATGTCAATAGATACAAGGGTGGTATAAAATTGATTCGACGTCTTTTCTTCAAGAAATGGACCTGTATTCATATATGTTATCAACCTTTTTACGGTCATAAAAAAAGCATTAATGGATTTCAAATAGCTGAAATGCACAATCCACTTGGAAGAGAAGAGTAATGTTGTTTGATCATTTTGTATATGCCACAACTGGAGAATGACAGTTATAGGTAAGACTCAGCATGTCTAAGATCTATCAATAAGAAAGTAAAACAAACAATAGGAACCTGAAAGAGATTTGGTATCCAAATTTTTCTGGAACAGAAAGAAACTGACTGAAACAGTCTAGTGATCACAGTTCAGGAGTTTCCTCAATTTTGAGAAACATGTTTGCTTCACTGACTCAAGTGTTAAGACATGATTAGAAATCGGAGGTGGCAGTTTCTTGAAATAAGCATGTTATGTTCCAACTTTTGTTTGATCACGTAGACTTAAGTATGTCATAAGCTCTCTCTATTCGTATTGAAGCGGTGGATCCTGTTGTTTGAAAGTCATTGACATTGAATTTGGCAAATTGTCCTTTGTGTTTAACCTGAATTCTAGACCATCTATCACTGTGTTATCATGTTGCACGTATTTCTTCTTTATAGCGTTAATCTACCATACTATAGACATGCTGTATTATTATAACTTTACTCACCGTCATCTCTTTATGTTGTCACTCGAAAGAACACACTATAATCACCATATATCAAGAAATACTAACTAAAGAATTCTTTGTGTGCAAACATGTAGCTGGTGCAAACAAATTTAATAAATATATTTCCTCATCACCTCATCACAAGTTTTCCCTCTATCTTCAACACATTTTTGATGTAAGTTCTAAATTATTTTTTCTGTCAAATATTGCTCCTCTTTCATCTCGAACGAATGCAGAAAGGGGCATATAAATCTATGCTACTGGAAAAAAAAAGTATGAACAAAAATTAGTCACAGCACGTATACCTCGACTTCTCTTATCTCATACTGATCAGTAAGTTTCAACACTTTGAATTTCACTGTCTCCAGATCCGGCACTTCATGAAGACGTGGACTGGTTTTAACCATCTAAATTATCATTGAATATAACAAATTGAAAAAAAATACATACCAGACATCAAAGCTTCCTCTAAATTCCGACTTTCGAATATCCTCTTCGGTAACACGTATTTCGCTGTTTCACTCGCCAATTCCGTCAGAACTGCCAACAATATAACAATCAATCAATCATTTTCTCATCCAAAAACTAGCTATAAAGGACTTTATAAAACAGAGTCAAATTGAGTGAATACGATTTTAATTGAGGAATAAGGAATTGCAGAGAAAAACTTACGCTTTTGAGAAAGAGAAGAGGTTTGGGAAGCGAGAGCAATGACAAGGGAGATTCGAGCTTCGAGAGCTGACATGCCGTTTCTCCGCTGCGGCGGAGCAGAGCTGCTTCTGTTTAGTGCCATGGATTTGATCGGCGAAGGTCTGATTCTGCTTGTGGATAGGGGAGCAAAAATGGAAGAAGGTGAGAGCAGAAGCATTTTTACGTTGCAGTGTTTGGGAACTGATAATTCGAAATTTAGTCTGGGGTAATTTTTTATTTATATTTATAAAATTATTGTCGAGTGTTCAAAAAATTTCAAGTTTGATCAAAATAATTATTTGAATTTATCATAGTCTTTTTTTATGAATTTTTATTTATATATGGATCAAAATAAATATGATAAAAAACCTATTGAGGTATTATAAAGATAATAAATAAAAGGTTGATACATTTCCCTCTTAAACTGAATAGAAAAAAGGCCCAAAATAGCACGAAGAAGTATGAATCAATATGAATGAGTGTAAGCACAAATTATCATCATGCTATTGTCCTACAAATTATCAAACACATACATCACTCGCTACAACTCTTTTATCTTCCGCAAAACTTTCATAAACATAAGATTGCTATGATTGTCTATCTGCAGAAATCAGATATAGATCCGACAAACTGCAAAATTATTTATATGCTACCACATTACTAGGAGAAAAATATCATAAAAGAGTTCACAGTTCACACTAACAATTTGAACGAGCTACCTCGACTTAAAACGTATAAAAGGATGGAATAAAAACATTGCACCAAAGGCGTGTAAGTTGATTAAAGATAGTAGAATGAATCTACAAACAATTGTCAATTCTGAAAAGCAAACACGCAACTAAACATGATCGTTTTGATAGAGGATATGTAGTTGCATAATGGGTAACAAAAGATACAACTGCTTGGATTATTTTTGGTGTGTGGAATTTGGAATTCATAGAATAAGTTTAATGTGGGGTGACTTGCATTACACCTTTGACTAGCTATTTTCAATGACGATGGTGTTTAAGCAAGCTTACACGCACCTTGACTAATTTACTAGAGTATGCTATCTCCTTCCAACACAAGTATCGAGCAACCTCACACTTAATCCAACAAAAACGAATGTATGAGAGTTGAATAAAGTATCATATACTCATAGATGTTTCACATGTATAATTTCACAACAATAGTAATATTAGGATTTGCTAGCTATTCTCAATGACGATGGTGTCTAAGCAAGCTTACACGCACCTCGACTGATTAACTACAGTATGCTACCTCTTTCTAATACAAGTATCGAGCAACTTAATCCAACAAAAACGAAATGTATGAGAGTGGAATAAAGTATCATATATTCATAGATGTTTCACATGTATAATTTCACAACAATAGTATATCAGGATTCAATTTCACAACAATAGTATATGAAATGTATGAGAGTGGAATAAAGTATCATATATTCATAGATGTTTCAGTATAATTTGAATATATATGTTTCACATGTATAATTTCACAACAACAGTATATCAGGATTCAATTTCACAACACACCAACAGTATATCAGGATTAAAAAAAAAATTTGAACCATTACTCGATTTGTGCGTTCATCCTTGCACAGGGGCCATGCTAATCTTCTCTGTATCGTTCCAATTTTATCGGATGTCCCCGAAGGGACAAGCACCATTGCTGCACTAGGATTCTTATTCTGCTGTATAAAAGTTTAATAAATGTCGTTTTGGGTCCTTAAAATTTTGAAAACCAAATATTTAGTCCTATTTTTGCAATGTTATTTCAACATCAGCCCCTGAAATATTTATTCACGTAATGAAGTTCCTTCTAAAGATATCAAAATTTTCTTTATTTCTTTTTAGTAAAATAAATTTATTATTTTAATAGAAATTAAACCCTTCTCCTATTAATAGATCTTACACGGCATAAATTTAAATTTAAAATATTCCACGCCAAATGAATATCAAAAATCAAGAGAGGAACTATTGGCATTTAATATGAAAAATAGAATAACTTACTGATTTTTAAATTGTATAGCATATTGTTTGAATTTAGTTTTTCTATATTTGTTAGGCAAGAACTTTATAGTATTTCATATGAAATAGAATGTATATATTAGCAATGAATAAATCAAATTTATTAAATCGTGTACATTAATTATTATATTTTACTAAAAAAAACTTATTTTGATTACATCAATATCACGAGATATAAAACACTTATAATCATAAATAATAATTTTTACTTTCCATACTATCCCAAATAAAGACTTAACACGCTCTCATCTTTTTCTCCTTTCCTCTTACCTCATGCGTATTATTAGTATATATTTTTTCATGTGTTAATTTTTTTTTTAATGCAGTTGACATAATTGACTGAGCGTAATATTTGACACACCTATTTTATTTCAAAATAAGGACTTGAATTAAAGTTTAAATTTAACTATTTTTTAGTCTTGTTATACAATTATTGTGTATTAGAAAATGTAAATATAAGTCTTATCGAATAAATGATAAATATGAGAAAAAAAGGCAACGATTTTTATAGACTTTGAGTAGTTACTTATTTAAATTATTAAAAAATCATAATTATTAACTTAATATGAATTTCAGGAAATAAAGATAGTATTCGGTCTAAGTTTTCAAATATTATAGGCAAATTATATTTGGATGATGTTTTTGGTGAAATTTCACCGTGTAGTTGGCTCCAAATTTTTAAAAAATATTTGGCTATCTTAAAAAATATGATTTATATCCATAAGTTATAAAAATTTTAAAATCTCAAATATGAACTTTGCTCAAATACTATTTTTTGTTCTAGAATTTGAAAACTTGAAATACTTGACAAATATATTTACTGCGTTATATGACTAAATACCACTCTTCAAAATTTATCAAGTTTTTTCCATATATTCTTGGGGTCAAAAGAGTTTTTATACATTAGTACTATCAAGTACTCCTTCCGTTTTATAAATAATAATTTAGTTTGATTTGACACGAAATTTAAGAAAATAAAGAATACTTTTTAAATTTTGTGATTCTAAATTAAAGTTATTTTAAATGTACAAAATTATTCTTTAATCTAGTAATCTTAAACATATCACGTGAAAAAATTAAAACTAAAACACTACCAAAAAAAAGTTTTTTTTAAAAAAACAGACAGACTAAAAAAGGGAAATTGTTAAGAATGCACAAACATTGCCTAAAATTATGACAAGACATTTATTCTTATCTTAGAATGTCGGGATTTATTTAATAACTCGAAATGTAAAACATTTTATACACACATTTCTTTTCGTTTTTAAAAAAGAATTATAGCTATATCATATTTCAAAAATCACAACATCATCGACAACCGTGATCTGTAGAGTATTATATTAGCTTCAATCAATTTCATTTTACATTTTTAATATTAGAAATATATTTTTAGTTTTATTATTATTTTTAATGTATCAAAAAGTATTGCATTACTATTATTTCATATATGCAAAAAATAAAATAAAAAAATAGATAAGTAAAAATAAATAAGAAAATGTGAAAATAAATAAAGTGAATTGAATGACATTTTCGTAGTTAAAAGAAACGTGGAACGTTGAATTCAAATATTTCTTTTTCCCATTAAGCTTGACCACAACTTTTTTTTTTAATTGTTTTTTTCTGAAAGACTTGACTTATGATATTCCATTGGGTCAATTTAATTTTGTATTTTCGATAATTAAGAAGGTACGTAGTAGTCCCTTCAACCCCCCACCCCCACCCACCCAACCAATCTCTCTTTTTCAATCTTTTATATGTAACATTTTTTTTTCCGGGTAAGATCATTATCGTATCTAATGATAAGATTTTAGACGTCTGGATATGAGTGATTGAGATTTTGAAAAAAAGAATAATATTTTAAAATCGAAGTTATCGAAAAAAGATGTTTGAAATTTAAAATTATATCTAAGCATGAAATTCAATTTTTTTTTGAATATTTACTCATTTTATTTTTCAAATGATATTTCACTAATTTAATATTGAAATAATGAGTTAATGTAATAAATAGTTACTTATTTGAGTTACTAAATCAAATATTTTGAGTAGAATCTGTGTGACGACATTATTTTGGTTGTTTTTTATATTAAATTTTTTTGTCTGAATTGGTTGTTTTTCAATATATTTTATTTTTAAAGTATTTATTAAATAAATCATTTTTTTAATATATTATGAATCAATATAAATAAATTAATATAAAAAGAGATAAATGTTTCAATTTGTTAATATTTTTAAAAAATAAGTTTAAAGAATGACTACACAAAAGTCAAAAAAAAAAAGATAGACAAAACATCAAAAATTACTAGCGAAATCTCAAAGGAGATTTCTAATATTATTCTCAAATAATTATATTAAAATTATTTTTTGTACGCTTGTCAAAATAGATAAAATATATCCTTATAATATGGAAAATTGTTTAAATATATCATTTGTTATACTTTCAAGCTAAATATAACTCTGTCATTATACTATTGACACATATTTACCCTTATAACTAACAAAATGACACATAGACGGCTAAGATCAAAAGAACTTATCCCATTTAAGTCATATCCAATTATAAGTTAATCCGCTATCAAATCAATTTTTCCCAACCCAATTAATATTTTTTGACCAAATTTAAACTTCAAACATAAAAAATCTAAAGAAGGTGTTATATTTTGTTTATGATTCGAAGAAGAGTGTCTAGATTGAATTAGAAACTTTCTTGCTTTCTCCTACAGTTTGACCGGCCTTGGACCAAATTTTAGGTTTTCTATGTTTGAAGTTTAAATTGGATTGGGCAAATTGATTCGGGTGAGCTGTTTAGTCTATAATTTGTATGACTTAAATTGAATGAGTTGTGTCCTTCTGTTAGTTATATCACATATGTGCCAATAGTATTACGAGAAGAGATATATTTGCCCAAAAATATAACGAATGATATATTTAGATATATTTAAACTATTTATCATCATATAGAGGGATATTTGATCCTTATATATTTTTTTATTGGAAAGAATAATATAAATAACTTTCCTTCCGATAATAATAAACAAAAAAAGAGGTAGGTAAAGCAAACAAAAAATGGAAAAAGAGGAGAACTCAATAAACGACTTACTAGCTCCTTTTCAATTATCTTGTATAATAGTGAGAACTCTAGCAAGTGTTCAATGTTAATTATTTGTAATGTTTAAACGTGAAAATTTGAATTTTTTTTATAAATTA